TACACATGTCAGGCCTTTCCAGTTGGCGCCTGGCAGAATAGCCTCCTCTCTGAATAATCTCAATCTCAGCAAATATTCCATCATCACCTTTCAAAACCTTGGAAAGAAAAACAAGTCAGTTTGCTTAGGAAATAAGGAATGGAACTTACCCCAGTGGGAGCATGGAATAAGGAATCTAGGGAGCCAACCTTCAGAATTGGAGGCCAGCTGTACCTTCCCTGCCCTCGTTCTGCCTTGTGCCCTGTGTGTTCATTTAAATCTGTCAACTTTGATCTCCAAAACAAGCAAAATGAAAACAAATAAAGACATCCATCATCATCCAACCAGCACATCATAGGGCTGGCATTATTCTTTACTTTCTTCTGTTGATATTCTCTTCAAAGAAATTAACATCTGTGATTTTATTATAAGCATTCAGCTATATGAAAACCAAGTAAATGGAATTATTTAATTATTCTCTGATGTTTATAGCATTGTTTCATTAGCTTTCTGTCACTATAACAAATACTGAATAAAGCTACTTAAGAAGGAAGTTTATTTTGGGTTAGCTGTGTAGGTTTACAATCCAAACTGAGTAGCCCAATTAGTCTGGCATCTTTTCAACCAGAAGACAGCAAAGCGCATGCAAATTTAGAGTCAGATGTGAGCCAGCTAGCAGACATGGTGTGCTCTTCTCTCATGTCCCTGTGTCTATTTATGAAGCTATCATGATTGGATCTTGAGATCCCATGCAACAAACAAGTCCAATATAATAGCTTCCTAAGGGCCTAATTCCATATTGCGCAGCTGTATTCCCTATCTGTCTTTATTCCATTAAACAATGAAAGAATTGGGGGAACAAGCCCCTGTCTCAGGGACTTTTGGGTACATCTAAAGTAATAGCTAGTTTATATCAGCTTTGTTCCTGTTGCAACTACATGGTGGGGCTCCAGATAGTTCAGCTCAGGAATCTTAGCTCCAAGAGAGTGGTCCGCAATTTTAGTTTAGCACCTGAATATTGACCACCTGTTGAGTACTCAGCTATGTGTGAGGCTGTTCATGCATTTTAACCTCAGAACACCTGCAGTCCAGCACTGTTTAGCCCTACTGTGCAGCTAAAGAAAACAAAGCTCGGTTAATTTTCCTCTCATCCCACAACTAGGAAATCACCTGACCTCATCAGATCTTCTATGAAGAGCCATAGAGTGAACTGAAACAGAATGTCATGGGGGCTCTGGCCTGCAAAAATTTCTGTCTGGGGAGCTGAGGACCATGATTTGGGCAAGAAAAGGTGGTAGTCATTTTAGATAGAGTTTGGCAGTGTGTACAGCATTCTCAAGCAGTAAAACTGTGTGGGCCAAATTTTGAATTAGGATGTATCTATCCTCAAGTATAATACCTTATTAGTATAACACCTTTGAATTAGGATATATTTATCCTCAGGTACAACATCTTATATGGATCCATGTTTAGATCCCAGGCCAATCTAGTCCATGGTAATGATGAGAAAGCTTTCATTTTTCACTCCGCATATTCCTTGGTCTAAAATGTCACTATTTATATTACATGGGTATCATGTGCCTTGATTGTTCATTTGGACTGATAATAGATTAAAACACTGTATGTTCAGGCATACAACTCAAGGGAATTGTTTCTTCTCTAAACTCCACATGTTGACCTTGAATGAGAACAGTATAAGGTGAGGATAGGGAAATAGAGACAGATAGCAAAAGTTATAGAGCTCCCACTCATTAAGTAGGCTCCACAAACACATCAGTATATAACATTAGAATCTGAATAGCCAACAGCTGGTATTAGTGTAGAAGAGTCTCACCTCTTACCTAGCCACCTACTCACTCTGTGACCCCACACCCTCATAACAAGTTGCTGGGAAAGTGGCTTACATAACTCCTTCAATTATGGTCCCTTGTACAACTGAGACGGGATGCCTTCACATTGTCACTGCTGTTTGACCCTGGGACCATTCCATGTAGCTGTTTTTGTTTGTTTGTTTGTTTGTTTGTTTGTTTGTTTACATGGGTTTTTTTTTCGGGCTCAGCATGATAGCGTAATGGTTAAGGTCCTCACCTTGAACGTGCCGGGATCCCATATGGGCACCGTTTCTAGTCCCGGCAGCTCCACTTCCCATCCAGCTCCCTGCTTGTGGCCTAGGAAAGCTGTGGAGGACGGCCCAAAGCTTTGGGACCCTGCATGGGAAACCTAGAAGAAGTTCCTGGCTCCTGGTTCTAGATCAGTTCAGCTCCAGCCATTGCAGCCACTTAGGGGGTGAATCAACGGACAGAAGATCTTCCTCTCTGCCTCTCCTCCTCTCTGTATATCTGCCTTTCCAGTAAAATAAAAAAATCTTTTTTTAAAAAAATGGTTTTTTTTCATACTACACAGAAAAGATACACAGTTTTCATCAGACTGCCATTTTGAACATCAGATTTTGCTATTGTACACTAGTCATGATTAATATTGATACTTTTTTATTAACTAAAGCCTCTAATTGATTCGGATTTCCTTTGTGCTTGCTTGTCCTTCTGTTTTAAGATCCCACCTGGCGTATTATGCCGGGATTATGTCTTGGGCTTCTCAGCATGCGTCTCTCAACCTTTATTCTTTTTTTAATAACTATGGCGGTTTTGAAGACAACTCATCAGAGGTTTTTCTCTGCAGATGTAGTATGCCATTTTTCTATCAAGCATACATACATAGTGTCAGCACACTTTAGCAATATTGATGTTGCCTCTTGTCACCTTTCTAAGTTCTAGACTGGGAAGCATGGGGGCACTTTTAAGTTTTCATTTTCTTTTTTTGCTAGTTTTATTTGTAGGTTACAGTGCAGTTTTTCAGTACATGCATACGTGGTGGAATTACCGGATCAGTCTAATCAGCATCCATGTTGCCATTCCCTTGTCATGAGCTCATTTGAAGTCATTTACCTAATTTGAAAAATAGCATAGAAGGTCATCTGAACTGCTTGCTCCTACCTAATTTAAATTGCATCATAGTTGCCCGTATCCTGTCTTCACCAGTGCCTCATCCTCTGAAACATTTTTATGAGTCTCCTAGTTTTAGTTTGAAAGATAACGAGACAGTCTGAATGGGTGCGTTTCTATTCTGTGATGTCAGAGAGACGTTCCCTGAATATGAATGGTCTTATTATTTGTTATTAGAGACTGATTTGAACTTTTCATCCACTTAATTCTGACTCTCATGCTTGTTTGGGAAATGTCTTATTAAAAAAAAAAAAAAAAGAGAGAGAGAGAACACCAATAGTGTGTGTGAATTTGAGCTTGTCACAACTGGCTGTTTTTCGCTTAGGAATGGCAGCTCCTTGCAGGAAATGACCACGTCCTCACCCTGCAGGCACTTATGCCAGCCGCCAGCTCTGACTTCCCAGGCCCCGGTCACTAAAGGCCTGTGTGTCAGGAGCCTTCATGGCATTTCTAGTAGGCATCCTCTCCCTCTTCCTCCTGGGTAAGCTCTAACTGCAGATCAGAGAAACCTGGATGCTGCAATAAGATCCCAGGGTTGAGATATTGCCCTTCCCTTGCATGTGGGCATGCAAGAACATTAAGGAAACCCAAGTGAAAATCAGCCTGCTGAGTTCCTGCGTTAGAGAGGCCCTGTTGTTTAGATCAGAAAGGCTGCAGAAGGCACTCTGTGGTCACCTCCACATCAAGGTTGTCTTGCTGCCTCACAAACCACCTCCAAGTTCAGATGCTGAGCTAATTGCAATCACTGACTTCAACTCGTGACTTTGTCCTTTACCGGGGGGATATTTGTCTCTCTCCCCCTTCAGACAGCCTGGGTAGCCTAATGGAAGCTGAAAGACACACTTTCAATTCCCACCCAGGGCTGGCAAGTTGCTCTGGCTGCTCCCTACAAGCGAGCTAAAACCAGGAGTCCCATTTCTCTCCCAAACGGGCCCTTCCTGGGTTCCTCAGGTTTCCTTACAGCATGGCAGCCAACTTCCAAGGGACAAAGGAAGAAGCTCTGCCACATTTTATGACCTGCCTCAGGGGTCAGAATTAATATCTGGCAATAATCACAAATTTGCTTTTTCACTACACGCATGCCAGTCACATGTGAAAAGGGTAAATGTGTTAAGATGTTCTTTGCTGGATCCAGTGCTATAGTGCTAAATCCTCACCTTGTATCTACTGGGATCCCATATGGGCACCGGATTCTTGTCCTGGGTTCTTCACTTCCCATCCAGCTCCCTGCTTGTGGCCTGGAGAAGCAGTCAAGGATGGGCCAAAGCCTTGGGATCCTGTACCCACACAGCCGACCTGGAAGAAGCTCCTGGCTGTTGGCTTTGGATCGGCTCAGCTTTCGACATTATGCCATTTGAGGAGTAAACCAGTAGACAAAATATCTTTTTCTCTGTTTTTCTTTGTCTTTGTGAATCTACTCTTTCAATAAATAAATAAACAAATCTCTTTAAGAAATTATTTTTTAAAAAAAACAATGTTCTTGTGTTGATCGTTTCTGGAAAATGTAAGCTTCCATCACTGGCTAGTGGGTTTCCTATTGTTCAGTAACTATTTGTTGTAACATAGGTACTGTACCAGATATGGGGGGACATAACATTGAACCAGACACAATTCTGGCCCTGGCAGCTCTGGTAACTGTATATCCCCAGTAAGGATATACAAGCTGGAAAAGCGACAAGTGCCAAGATTACAGGCACTCAAGAAGATTCCCAACAAAGTCTTCAAGTCTGGAGAAGACTTCCAAAACAAGCTACAAGCGGAAAAAAAAAAAAAAAAAACCTCAGGCTGAATCAAAAGACAGAAAAACTGAAACTGAAGACAAGGGGCAGAATAGTTGCCTCGGTGTCACTGCGTTTGGGGGAAAGATTGGGGCTTTTATTGTGTTCATCATAATCGTTACATTACTCTTCATCAAGCATTCGTCTGCACATATAGACCATTTTCCAGAATCAAAAATTTCCCAAGCTCCAGGTTCTCTTTGACAGAATCAGAAACTTCAGCTTAAATCCTGGTACAGCCATGACGTTTTTAATATCAAAAATGTTTAAATTCTATGTCATCATAGAAGTTGAGAAGGGATTTGGGGTACATATTGGTCAGTCTTTCCTGTATCTTGTTTCCAGGAACAGCTATGTGTGTGGAGGCGTAAGGGGATGCTTGCACATCCATATTTGAGGGCATTTATAATTCAGGAAAGAATTAAAAGAGAATGTACTTCTTCCTTGGGCTTTTTGAAGCGTCCCTTGTTTTGTAAGCTAATGTGCGCACGTATGTGTTTTAGCTATGAAGCTGTGAACTGTCAGACTCCCGGGCCCACAGTTGAAGGTGCATTTGTGTTGGACAAAGGTCGTGGGTGTGTTAAGTACACAGGCTCTGTCTCCCATAACTTTATTGCTTGACTTCCAGTCTTCGTCTTCCAGGAAACAATTCCCAACAGAGTCATGGACTTCGGAACTCTTCTGGAACCCATAACATAATGGTACCCCATTAAGTTAGTGTTGAGCAGAGTTTTTTATCTTTCTGCCCTGTCATCAAAGGTATATTTCCAACAGAAGAAGGAAATATTTGTAATGTGACTTAGTGTAGAGAAGGAAACAGCAAAAATTTACATGAAAACTCCTTGGTTCCACACACGCGCGCGCACACACACACACACACACACACACACCCCCAAGGTCACATGCAGTGATGCATATTTATTTCTGAATAAGAGAAGCCATGCTCCCATGAATGATGAGTTTATATTTGATCTTCAAATACATGAAATTATTGAAGTTCCAAGGAAAGACTACACTAAGTACTCAAACCATAGTGAATATATAAAAAACACCGTGTCTAGAATATTAGTGGGATTGACCAGGCACTGAGTTGTCCTGAGTCTCTTGCCCCAAACCTAACCATGTGTAGCTTTTACGGCCACAGTAAGTCATTTCACTTTCTTGGACCTTGGCCTTTTCATCTGTGAAGTGGAGTTAGATAACAAAATGATATCATTTGGAACTAGAAAATCCCGCATCCAGCCAAGGTTGTGTGTGGAGAAGAGATCGCATAAAGCAGACTTGGGCATGCTGTAGATTGTGATTCATTGTTAAAACCAAGTATAGAGCTGAATTCCCCGATTGTCTTAATCTTTGAGTATTGCTCTAACAAAATATCATAACCCAGGCAATTCATAATTTATAAAGAACTGGAAATTATTTCCTCACGGTTCCAGGGACTGGGAATTACAAGATCAAGTGGCTGGAATCTGGTGAGGGACTTTGTGCTATATCATCCCATAGAACAAGGGTGTGACAGAGAAGGAGAGAGAGAAAAGGCAGCAAAGAGGGGGAAAGGGCAAGCTTGTCCTTTTTTTTTTTTTAAAGATTTATTTTTATTATTATTTTTTTTTATTGGAAAGGCAGATATACAGAGAGGAGAGACAGAGAGGAAGATCTTCCGTCCGATGATTCACTCCCCAAGTGAGCGCAACGGCCGATGCTATGCCATCCGAAGCCAGGAGCCTCTTCCGGGTCTCCCACGCGGGTGCAGGGTCCCAAAGCTTTGGGCCATCCTCGACTGCTTTCCCGGGCCACAGGCAGGGAGCTGGATGGGAAGCGGGGCTGCCGGGATAGAACCGGCGCCCATATGGGATCCCGGGCGTGCAAGGCGAGGACCTTAACCACTTGCGCCACCGCGCTGGGCTCAAGTTTGTCCTTTTAAAAGGAACTTCACTTCTGAAATCATGAACCCACTCCCGTGGTAATGGCATATACTCTAATTGATGATATAGAACACCTTTAAAACTGGTTGAAGGAGGTGCTATTAGAATTCCAAACTGGGTCTGCTTACCTGATGCTCAACAAGCCAATCACTGGGATAACGTGGCAGAAGGAGGCAAATATTTGTATCAAAGCACAGCACAAGAAACTAGGCAGCTATCACTTAATTCCCTGGGCTCCCTGTGGGGTTAGGAGCTAAGGTTCCTACAGTTTGAAGTTGGGGACAAGAGATGTGTGTTTAGCTCATGCCCATGAATCCTGGTTAGTCTGCAGTGCTCAGGGTTCTTTGATTGATCAGCAATATCATGGCCTTTAGGAAATGTTGATGATGGCAAAAAGGAGTCCCTCAGTCTAGAGGCTTCATGCTGGTCATAGCTACCTTTAATAAAAGACTGATGTTCCTGGAATACCAAGCATCAAGATGTTGTCATAGGGGAAATTAGTAACCTAAATCTGGTGATCAGGGATCTCAATTCAATGGCATAATTATAGTAAGGAGTTATTTTGCAATCATAAATGTTGGACAAGGAAAGTTTAAGCTAAAAGAGGGAGGCTGAAAGCCTAGGGCCTGGTGGTATATAGCATCTACATTCAAATCATTATGTAGGGGCTTGGTTTCATCAGGCCCCACCTCTCCACTCCACCACTTTGGAGCACAAGTTGTCAGCACGTAAACCAGTCTGTATTTCAAACCATTGTGCTAATGTATTCCTGTTATCTGTTGATGCTTAAAAAAAAAAAAGAAAGAAAAAGCCAGAAAAGAAAATAATCACCAAGAACAGATCATGCATCTAGGGTTGACTGGACTCAACTAGACCATTTTTACTTGGGTTTCTGTTGTCCAGTTGCAGAGATCTGAGTCATCTTTTGCTGCTTTAGTTGTGTCTGGCTTGGCTGAGGCTGGGATACTGGGGACCCGTTGGATGACCCTGTCACATGTTACAGGCTTGGATAGAGTTGGAAGTTTTGTGACCTTTTCTACTTTGTTCTTAGAATATACGTGATGTCCCATATGCCTTCTGATCATCAAGAGTTTACAAAGGCACATCTTGGCTCAGGGAATGAGAAATGGACTCTGCCTCCTGGTAGAGAACTAGTTGATCCAATTTAAAATCACCATGCCCAACATGCTGTTACGCGTGGTGTTAGGGTAACAAGGAAGACTTCTAGACTGTTAGGGTTCGCTTTTGTGATTTTCTTGCCATGGAAACCTAGTTTAAAGGGGGGAAAGTCTTTTGTAATATGTTTAAGATTAATAAGGAACATGAGAATTTGTATGAATTATCTGTGCAACAAAAAATATATATATACAATCTAGAATGTATGCAGTCTTAGAAAACTTAATATGTATAATGGTATGCAAAAGATGCCAGGATTTGGAAAAAATAATTAAAGCAGGAGTTTCCAGTCCTTTTATTGTGTTCCCCTCTACATGTAAAATAAACTCCATTGTTAAAATTGTTATTTTTAGCTAATGTATTACATACAGCCCCAGAATACAGATAGAAGAAAACAAATGAGACAACAGCATAAAAAATCAATTCCAAAAGATTGTGGGTCATTGTTTTTCAGTGTGAAGAGTGTCCTTGGGAGGTAGGCAGAGCCAAAAGGAACGGTCCAAGTGGGTGAGAGTATGGACCCTGGAGCCAAAGTGTCAGAGTTGAAACCCAGTTTATCACTCCCAGCTCTGTGGCTATAGGCTGCAGCCCTTGTCTCTCTGGCTAGGAGAGCTAATATAGTGAGAGGCAGCTCAGGTGTAACCCTTCATGTGGCATGTAGTATGCAGTAAGTACAAGGCATATACAGTGTTAGCCATTTGTTTCTTCACCAAGTCCTTGCCTTGCTTTTGCCAGATGCGAATGTCATGCTCTGTCTGGACTATGGGCAGCCAAGTAAACACACTGTCGGGAGAGTGGCTTTCCTTCTCTGAGGTCCTGAGATCATGTGTGCATTGGAATTCCCTGTAGGAGGCTACGGTGACAGCAGGCACCCAGAAATGTGCTAACCTTAACCCACCCCCATCCTGATTCGGTCAAGTTGTAAAAATTGCTTACCTGCTTTGAACACATCAAGCTAGGTGTTGGTTTTACATGTTTAGAATTAGAGTTGCCAGAGTCCATTATGTAAATCTGTGCAAATGATATGCAAAGATGCAATATCGTGTGGATACAATTGTGGGGAGGGGAATATACAAGCCAGCACAAAAGTGCCTGAATGAAAATTTGCATGTTGGGGGTGGCCTGGATTGAAGGCCTTGCACTTTTGTTATGACAGCATGCATCACATTTCCTTGTTAACCTTTACTGCCAGAGAGGAAAGGTAAACTTGTTTGATTTTCATATTGAAGGTGGCAGAGACGGTGTTTGGGCCATGCTACATCATAGTGATTTTTATGATAGAAAAGAAATTGCCTTGAAATAATGACTGTGGTCAAGGCTGTGCATTCTTGGACACTCACGCCCCTTCTTCTGTTGCCTCATGTTTGAAATGAGGAGATTGGATTAGATGAATGCCAGGGCAACTCTCACTGAAAAATCTAAACATCATATTCGGGGTGAACACCCTTGGTAGTACTCATTTAATGTATCAAGGTTTACTCCAAAGTAAAGAAGAGGCTGAAAGGCGATTTTAAAGTTCTCCTTAAGAAGAAAATGACTTCAGGGGATCCTAGCAAAGAAAACAAAACAGCAGGAACAAGTTAACACTGTCAGTCTTGAGCAAGGACTCCAACCATAGGCTCCCTGCTCTGACTGAGAAAGCAAGTCAGGGCAGGGGCAGGTTTTCTTTCTTAGCTTGATCCCACACGAGTTCCACTGGAGACCAGGGTGGCCACTGTGTCAAGGAAGGTATCCACTAAAGCTTTGCACCAACCTTGACACTGCTTTCCGCAGCCTCTGATCTCTGACTATATGGGATACATTTGGTATTCCACTCCAGGAGTCCTTGACCCTCAAACCTAACTGACTAGGAAGAAGTCCAACGTAACAGCTCCTGGACCCAAGATCCTCTAATTCAGCAAGAGAATTCCGAGCATCAAGGAGCAGCCTTGCCCAGGGGAACTTTAACATAGGAATTTTGCAGAGGGTGGACAAAATTCAGTCCTTAGCAACACTCTTACTGAACCAATGCCTTGGTTTAGTCCTGTCCAAGGTGTTGTGAGGATTAAAGTGAGCCTTGTTTTAGGGTGTGGAGTGCATCATTGGTGTATGGTCTAGATCAAGAGGTTGTTTAGTGCAAATCATTGACCTGCCCCAGGGGCCTTGGGGTGGTGGGCAGTGCAGCACAGCCTCTGGTCAATCCAAAATTCCTCTGCCTCCAGCACCCAGTGACAAAGAAGGACAGGATGAGGGTGATACGTACTTAGAAATATTTCTTAATGAGCAGATTTTTGTCTTTAAGCATTTTCTCTCTAAAGTCTACACTTTGACTGTCATGGAAATTCCAGGTTTTCTACTTCCAGCACTCAGAAGGGCTCCTCCTACTCCAAAAGATTAGGCAACACCAGAGTTCAGCCAGGTGTGCTCCACAGGGAAAGGAGTGAATAATAACAAGAGCAGTCATTATAGCCTGCACTCCAGGGACACACTGCACACTGCGCCAATGTCCTGGGCTTTATGTCGGGAGCGTACCAGGAGTCCTCTCCCTTTTCTTGCTTGCTAAAAGTCTGCAAGTACTCCTACCTCTCTCTACCACACACCTGCAAATCACAGCACGGAGTCCCTACTTCAGCTGTTTTTCATTCTGAAACCTCAAGGTGGGAAGAAAGGTTCTAAAGGAGTTAGCACGTTGATACAGATGTCTACCCAGTCTACGGGGTGAGTGGGAGCTGAAGGAAAGATGGCTACTGTGAACAAGGAGCAGTTGACATGTCCACGTCAAGTCTTGAAAGACTGCCTAATATGCAACAGTTGAAACTGGCAGTTGCTAAGCCCTGTGCTGTGACAGTCCATTATGTAGTTATAATCTTGAGTAGATCCTTTGTCTCCTGTTTACATGAGGTACTATTTTAAAATATTGGATACTAGTTTGATTAATAAAACCCACACATGTTTAGAAATAGTTTTAACTTATTCAACTGGGAGTCTACACATTGCCTGACATGCAACAGCCTTGGTTTTTAACATTGAGAAGCTCTCTTGCTGCTCAAAGTGGGTCCAAAAAATCACCAATGGAGTTTTTTTCCTGAAGTGTTCAGCCACATGAGTGCTATAGGAAAAGTGGCTAATACTAATAATAATAACAAAATGAAATATCATTAGGTACTTGAAGAATCAGTCCTCTCTTCCAAAACTCTATCAAATGCTTTGTGGGCACCTAATGTGATCACCCTGCTCAGAACGTGTGCCCCCTCTGGCCTATCACTCTCCTATTCCATTGAAACATACTAATTTTGGGATTATTTATGAACTAGGGCAAACTCTCCCAGGGCCAGAGACTGCCCAATTATTTTTGTGTAGATCGTTCTGTGAGTGGACCTGAATAGAGATCTGTCCATTTGTCATGTTGTCCGGTTTTAAATGGAGGGTTGGGAAAGGGCGCAGAAGCTCTCCCGGCTCTTCCACGTTCCAATCTGAGTGGCTCACACAGAGTGTGAGGCCAAGCTGGTCTTGGTCACTATCTTGCTGCAGAAGAGAAATGTGTAAGCCTCAACCAATCATAGTATATTCCGAAAAGCTACCCTTGGGTAAAGGACATTTGTGGCAGGATGAGACTAGCCACTTTGGCTAAACTGGTTCATGTGGTACAAATCTGACTGATAACCACCCAATGGGTTTGACCCATTTCCAACAGCCTGGGTCTCAGGAGTGCTCCTGGCATCTTCCCTGAGTGTACAGAGCTGTCCAAGGTCATGGTGAGGAAGGACCCACCGGCAAGCTCCTCCCAGGTGTTTTACCTCTTTTCTCTGTCTCCCTCCTAAGGCTTCCTCCTGATCTTGGCACTGACCGAAGCACTGGTATTTGCTGTCCAGGAACCGTCTCCCAGGGAACCTCTTGAGGTCCTCTCCTCAGGCACCATGCTGACAACGCTGCACAACTCTACTAGACACCCTTCCGTGACGACGCTGACATCCCATCCCAATGGACCCTCCTCTCAGGCTGCAGCTCCCACAACATCAACGATGGTCCCTGCAGACGGGCACCCTTCAGCAAACACAGTCTCTGTCATCGTGGCGACAGCAACCACACCCCATTCTGAAGGCCCCCTCTCTACGGGACACCTGCCAGCTGCCATGGCAAGCACATCCGCCCTCACAGAGGGTCACCCCCCAGCGAATGCTGACCCCACCGTCCTGCCAACAAAGCCATCAGAACAAGCCCCCAGCCACCTGAGCACAGTGCACCCTCGGGCCACCACCCGTAGGCCTCCTAGGCCCCCCGGCTCTTCCCGAAAGGGGGCTGGTAGCTCATCACGCCCTGTTCCTCCTGCACCTGGCAGCCACTCTGGGAGGAAGGAAGGCCAGCGGAGACAAAATCAGAGTTCCACACACCTGGGACAGAAGCGCCCCCTGGGGAAGATCTTCCAGATCTACAAAGGCAACTTCACAGGATCTGTGGAATCAGACACCTCTTCCCTAACCCCCAGACCCCCGCTCCGAGACTATTCCTCTTCACCACAGTCCCAGACAGTGGTTGCAACCACAGCACCCAGCAGTACTTTCTGGCCCCCAGCCACCCACCCTCTGATGCCAGCAGAGGACAAGCTAGGCCTCAACAGGGCAGACCAGGGTGGTGGTTCCACTTTCACTGGCCAAGGAGTAGAGCCGGACACCACAGCAGCCTCAGGTGCCCCGACCCGTCCACAGCCTGCCCCAGTGCCTTCAAAGTCTCCCCGTGGTGACCTGCAGGATGGCCCCAGCCGCAGTGAATCTTGGCTTGCTGTCACCCCTGGCATCAGCAGATCACTGCCTGCCAGCTCTGGGGTCTTCACAGCCACCACAGGACCCACCCAGGCTGCCTTTCATGCCAGTGTCTCAGCCCCTTTCCAGGGGATTCCTCAGGGAACATCCACCACAACCCCACAGGCACCAGTCCGGCCTCCTGGCATGCCAGAAGGCACTGTCTCTCGAGTTGAGAAGGAAACTACAGTCACCCCCACCATGGCCAACAGGGGATCCCATCCTTTCTCCACAGTGTTGTCCACAGCCACAGGGAACTTCCTCAACCGCCTGGTCCCTGCCGGAACCTGGAAGCCTGGAACCGCAGGGAACATCTCACATGTGGCTGAAGGGGACAAGCCCCAGCACAGAGCCACCATCTGCCTGAGCAAGATGGACATCGCCTGGGTGATCCTTGCCATCAGTGTACCCATCTCTTCCTGCTGTAAGTGCCGTGCTTCCTCCCATGCCCCTCCCTACCCACCTGCCTCAACAACAGCAAGGTTACTCACCCTCAGAATTGTCTACCGAGTTAAGCAGCCATCACATAGCTCATCCAGGAAACAAGGTCAGCAGGACAGAAGCCTCACATCCACTGCTCCCAAAGTCTGATCCCACCCTGCACGTTAGCAGAGGGAACCAGGAAGCTGGAGCGGTGACCTGGCTGCCCTGGGATCAGACAAGCAGGGCTGGGTGGGAGCTAAGAGGGCGCTCTGCACATTTGCCACATGAGCTGCCTTCACTGCCTGTACAGCTCCAGGACACCACAGGGGAAGGTTGCTGCTCCCAGAGCTGCAGCCGCTGGCTGGGAAAGCCCTCGCTCGCTCTCCTGTCTCCATCTCTCTTCTCTTTTCTCTCCTGTCCTTCAAATTTCCTTCCTCTCTTTCCCCCAAGAAAGAAGATCTGCTTTCACCTGGTGGAAAGTCCTCTTAGCCTTGGCATAAATACTGTTGCAGTTAAATTAAGGCTTGAAAGTTCCTGTGAATTATAGCTGTGCTCACCCTGACTCACAACCTCTGCCCCCATTCTGGTTGTTTATAGTTGGTGCCAATTGATGCAGGGGACTTCCACAATGGATTTTGCCCCCGCAGGGTCTCCTCGCTGCTTCCTTTTTCTTTATGAATGAAAACGTCATGAGCTATTCCCCTGATGTCTCTTGTAAGGAGCCTGACAATCAGGCTTCCGTTAGTCTGCCCTTTTTGCTTGTCTTTAATTCTTGATTTTTTTTCCTAACCTTTCAGAATGCTCACTGTACTCACCTCCACCATAGATAATTAACATCGAGCTACTCTCGAACCAAACCCTCTTCTGACTCCTTGGACAGCCCATTCTCCCTTTATCTCAAGTTGCTCCAGCTCTCTTTCAAACCTGGAATTTGTTTGCTTGCAATTTCTTCTTTGTAACTTTCGGACAGCACACAACACAGTTGCATAACCCCTGAAGCATCTCAAGTGATTTGCGAAGATTTCTTTCTGTCTAAATTGTTCATCCCAGACCCTTCAAGTGGTCCTCAGCAGGGTGCACTGCCCTGGGGTCTGCTCACCCCTGCTACCCACCTCCACACCTGCTCTCCACACAGGAATGCCTAAGGCAGCGTTCTTTCTTATGCCTGGCCGTGGCAGAAAGAACTCATGATGAGTATTTCCTCATGATGAGTTAACAATGTGTGTGAGGCAACATGTCAGTAACTGGGGAATCAGAGTTGTGTAGCTCTCTCTCCAACTTTCAGCACCTGCTCTTCATGTGGGATGGGTGACTGTAGGGCAAGCCTACCCTATACCCCCAAAGACCACACTTAGTGGGATTTTTGCCATTCTTTTTTTTTTTAAGATTTATTTTTATTATTATTTTTTTTATTGGAAAGGCAGATATATAGAGAGGAGAGACAGAGAGGAAGATCTTCCGTCCGATGATTCACTCCCCAAGTGAGCGCAACGGCCGATGCTATGCCTATCCGAAGCCAGGAGCCTCTTCCGGGTCTCCCACGCGGGTGCAGGGTCCCAAAGCCTTGGGCTGTCCTCAACTGCTTTCCCGGGCCACAGGCAGGGAGCTGGAAGGGAAGCGGGGCTGCCGGGATTAGAACCGGCGCCCATATGGGATCCCGGGCGTGCAAGGCGAGGACCCCAACCACTTGCGCCACTGCGCCAGGCCCCGATTTTTGCCATTCTAATATGGTTTTGACTTTACACAGCCCTTCTGCTAGATACTAGGATTTGAAATCAGATTGGGTCTTGCTACAAAGCTGGGAAACCCGTGGACTGCCTAAGCCATGTGTGAAATTGTCAATTGAGTCAGGAACCTGCACCAAGGAGTGCTGCTAGCGTGTTGGAATGTGTCTTCAGGTGCTGAGGATAAAGCACACTGCTTTCCGAGGAACATAGAACTCTTATAGCCCCTGTGACACCATCGGCATCTGTCCCATCATTCCATCTCCTGCCTAAGAAGCTTACATAAACTTGCACTGAGCAAGGCCCCAACCTCTGCCATGGCTATCTCCGTATTAATCACATGTCCTTGATCATGACCCCTAAGTCTTTTGGACTACCATTAGCCTTGCAAAGATCATGGTGAGATGGACACTGGTAGAAACATGTGTTCTTTCAACGTCTGTCCTCTTATTTTTAGCTCTTTGTACTGTCCAGCCTCATCTGACCATTGGGTAAATGAACTTCTCCTGTGCCCAGAGTTTCTGATCTTCCTGCTGGTTCCGTTTATCCTAAAGCCCCAGAGATTAAAGCACCTCACCCTTTGGTAGTTTCCCAGATTTTCCAGGCACCGAGTTGATAGCAACCATGAGACCCCTCTGCCAGGGAGACCAGCATTGGCCCTGGCTCTGCGTCAGCTTGCCTGAGAAGGCAAATAGACCATGAGCTCCACCTAGTGGCTAGAAGGGTAACTGCTGAGCCCTGCCAGACACTGTTTTTTTTTTTAAAGGTGCTAAAAATAAAGATTGTTCCAGGCAGCTTGAGTAGAGCAAGGAGCTTGTGACTGCTGAGCTTGTCTCTGCTGCCACCATCAGGACGCATGGAGTTTACTGACTCCTCGCTGGGCTCACCTTGAAACAGGCTTTGAATTTTCGCAGGCTTTCCTGCCTCTGTGTCACTTGGCATTCTTGAGAATGTCTTCACCCAGCCCCAGTGTGAGGCCCTGGGGCTTTCTGGAAGCTGACATCGGGAAACTGGTGTCAGTTATAAGTTGATGCAATTATATAGATGTTCTTTATAACCAATCTGAGTTGAGCCTGGCAGAAGCAGGACGACACCTCTCCGTTATCCCAACGCTCTCGTCCCCGTGCACCCTGCTGCGGAACAGCCTTGCTTTCTCCCAGACACTGAAGCGTTAGTACAGCACTCAAAGAGATAATGTGCCCGGTGATTGTTGGTCATGGCAACTGTTCAGTGAGTCTTCTCTTTACCTTTTTGCCTACAGGCCATCCCTGATTTTTTAATACTTGTAGACCAAAAAAAAAAAAAAAAACAGGTCAGAACAACTCTAGCCAATGAAGCAAGTTAAAGATATTGGAGCCAGAAAGAGGGTGTGACTTGTCTCCCTAGGGCTAATGGACCAACATAAGGAAGACAAAGGAGAAACACAGAGACAGCTCTTCTGTGTCTCTCAGCACTGCAGGGGGAAAATCTTTATGCCATTTTGGACATTTGTAACATCGTTCGTGGACAATACAAAATTAACAATTGGAAATCAACCAGTTAAAAGTTGTTGAATTCCAACCATACTTGTGGCTGCCTTGGTGCTTGGGCCAGATGCTGCCACCCCTGTTCTATGCGCTAGTCCTATCTGGCTGGCTGGGAAGTCAGTCACTGAGCCTTCCAACTGGCTTACTGTATGTAGCCTTTGCATTGGGTCATGCCTGGTTTACTTCCACATCTTCAAGTCTCCCGTGCCTGTTTTCTTGATCTCCAAGAGAAGGAAATGACTGTCCCCAGCTCTAGCTCACCCCTCACGCTGGCACCACTGCCTTCCCTTTGCTGGTTTATGGTTTCCTGTATATAAAACAAAGGAGCCAAGCCGAAATATGTCGTGAATCCCTGTCCTCTCCCACTTGTCTGATTTTAACTTGCGTGGACACTCAGGGGAAGCCTAGTGTGCTTAGAAAGGTTTGGCTTGTGGAATCAAATACAGCTGTATATGTGCAGTTCTAGCTGTTGCCAGTCATCGACTATGGAACCTATTTAAACACAGATCCAATGTTTTCTTGTTTGTAATCGGGACTAGTGTCCATGAGGTTAATTTGGATGTCTCAAGAGGTAAACACTAAAACAGGGGTAGGCTGCAAGAGAATTACGGGAGAATCATTCGCAAAGTGTTTTTGAAAGGGCCTAAGTAGGCAAGGATAGCCCCAGATGACAGCATAGGCCTGCCATCCATGAAGGAGTTTTGGGGAACAAGGGGATTTCAAACTATGAAACAGTTCTAAGAAAATTTCTGCCAAGCCAGTGGGAGTTCTTGAGCTGGTCAAGGAATTGTGTCCTGTACCAATACAGAAGTATTTCCCTGTGACAGGAAGTCATGACTTGGCAATATGGCCTCGGTGCAAAAGTGGTATTGAATCCAGAGGCACCACAGCTGGGCTTTCCACCTGCTTGTGGCCTGCACTGGGCAATCTGAATGGGGCTTTTTCATAGAATGCATCAACACCTGCCTCAAACACGTGTAAGCTCAGAGACTTTGTGTAAGGTCTTTCCCATTGTCTGCTGTAGACAAGGTCATCTTTTAGTGATTATTGTTAATCTTGCTGTTGCTTGCAATGCATGATCAAAACAGCCAGAGAGCTGGAGATAGCTGTTGCCTGAGAAGGTTGGCTCCTTAGCAGCCTAAGAGGGCCTTATTTCTGTTTATAACCATACAACAGGCCCTACCACTTGCCCATGCCTCCAGCCATGTGAGGGCAATACCCAAGGCTCCTTCTGAAAATCAATGACTGTTTGGCATATGTCTATGGAGCCGTTGTTGAGTTCTCATGGACACTCCTGGGAAACCAAGAAAGCTTACCTGTTTGAAAACGTGAGAACGTTTCTGCCACGTCTGACGTCTGGGTGGCTGTTGCTTTCAGAAAAACAAGACAAGTTGAAGTTCTTAAGCTATGTGGATAAAGGGATTGGCTGACAATTTGTACTTTCAGGGCTTTGTTGTTTCACAAAACATCTCTACAACCCTGACTTCTTCTATGCTTCTTCCAGTGTCTAGGACAATATAGGACAATAAGCACCAACCTACAAGTCACTTCAGAGACTTGGGTTCAAGCTAGAACAATCAGCTGTGTTATTTAGCTTAGTGTTGGTGATTTTCATGACCTATGGTTACCACTTCTGTAAATAGGACGAGCAGCAGCTCCATCCTCAGTTGCTGGTGGGTTAAAGAGATTATAAAACACAGTGATTGGATTAGAGACACCATCATTCTGTATTGTACTTTGCTTTCTTTTATGAAAGTTCCAGCCACTGAAATAACGGAAGTCCTAAGCCACAGGTGGAGCTCTAGCCTTGAGTCACCCAGCAGTCACTGAGGTCCACCTTTAGTTTCTAGGTTCTCTGTTTTGGGAATGCTGGAAGAATGAGAAGTCCAAGTAAGGGAGCATATCCTGTGTCAGACACCATGCTTGATATTTTTGATTCCACTGTGTCTTTAATTCTCATTGCAGTCTTATGAAGTCTGTATTTTCCAGAGGAGTGGCCTGCCAGATGTGATACTAGGTAGAGTCATGACTTGAACCTATGCCTTTTGACTCCAGGGTGCACTGTGTCTGTAGCCAGGCTGACTTGCAGTAAATGAAACTTCCTGGGGAGACCCTCATGAGGCCAGGAGCACTGACAGCCAGCCTACGGGGTGTAATCCCCACAGGCCAGGAACACTGATAGCAAATTAGGGAGAAAGCATAGATAGAATTCACTGTTCCAGCTCCTAGGCCTTCTTGCAACAGTGGCAGCCCTTCCCAGGAGGCAGGACACCTGCGTGTGACCTTCAAAAGAGGCCTCTGCGCAGAAGTAATGTGCCTGGTAGGAGTGCTAGAGTGGAGATCAGAAGACATGGATTCTGCTACCTCTCACAGGCCTTGGCTAGCCGCATGACTTTGAAGAACTCCTCCCTGGGTTCCTGTTCCATTTATAGAATAAAAATGTAGCATGGGGGAAGGGACACATTGGCATCTGCTGTAATCCAGGGACTGTGTGAACTGCCACTAAATTCCTCCAGGCTTCCCAGAGAAAGCTGAGGCTGAGAAAGCTTTTGGAACCTACTCAAATCATGCAAGAAGTGGATCATTATTTGGATTCACATCCTTTCACCAGACTCACCGGGCAACAGCCAAGATCACATCAACAGCTTTGAGCCTGTTTGTTTAGTAGATTGGAGACATGAATAGTCTCAGGAAAATGTGTAAACCATACCTCTGGCTCATGAACATGTTTTTTTAACATCCTTTTCCTTGCCCCCTTTCTCTCTTCAACCTTTGAAGAGAAGATGCTTTGAAAGGACGTAGGGAAGGTAGGAAGAAACCCACAAAATTTGGAAAACTCTGTACCAACCAATCTCTGAAATTCTTTTGAGCTCATACAGAAAGCTGCATGTTTTTTTTAAGGTTTGTTGAGAAGGGTCTGGAGTAGTGGTAAGTGAGGTAGACATTTTTGTTTTGGGTTTTTTTTTTTTTTTAATCAAAGTGGACCACATGACATGGCATTCACCTTGTATTTTGACCTGTTCAGAGTCTCCTTCAGGTTGAGATGCCAGCAAGGCTAGCAGCTAGAAAGAAAGCTGCAGAATTATCCCATCAGTCCGTGGGGCTCAGGGCTAGGCCCCTGAACTTTCAGCCTGTACAGTTGCAGTTACCCACCACCAGCATCCATCCACCACAATTCTGGTCATAATTCCTATAGGTACAACTGCTTCTCTGCTGCCCTCTGGTGCTGGTGTTGCAGTTAGCTGGCACTGCCAGGGTGTCAAATATAACCCTGCCCACCACTGGCTTGCTGTTTTTCAGATCCTGGGAGGGTCTGATGATGGTGCACCTGCAGCAGGATGTACTCATTGCGCATGCACTGGCTTCTTCTGAGAGCTTATCTCAGCTTGTCATTGGTTCACCCTTCTGCAGCATGCCCAAGCAAGTCTGTACATCTGATTCATCAATAAAACCCAGACAGGCTCCTTTCCCAAGGGCCCCGTGGGTCTCAGAGACTGAGCATCCAGGTCCCCACACAACCCAAGATGCTGAAGCCATCTGTGCTGGGGGATGCAGGGCTTTAGGGAGGTTTATGTATCAGCCAGAGCAAGAAATCTGGATGTTAAGAGCATGGGCTTCGAAGTCCCGCTACCTGGGTTTGCTCTTCAACATGTCCACCACCTTGCCTTCCTGTGCCTCCGTTTTCTCTATAAGATGGAGACCCTAGCAGTTTTGACTCCATAGGGTTATATTTCTTATATGCCTAGAATTGTGCCCCAAGTTCTAAGTCCTGTAGAGTTCCCAGCTTGGGCTGGGGAGAGGTACAGTGTCATGTGCAGAGAAACTGTTTTACCAAGTCTCAGATCTGCCCTGTGGAGTTGTTCTGGAAGCCTCTGCTGCCAGTCCTTTGTGGAAGTCAAGAGTTTGCATTGTCAGCTCCACTGTGCCCTGCCCTTCTTTCTGCCAGCCCCCAACTCTGGAGAATTCTGCTTTCCCCAGGACTGCAGCTCAGGGTGTGCTTTATGTTGTATGCAGCAAAACTTCAGTGACCGACCCACTGAGCAAGCAAGGCCTTTCTTGGTAAGACTCAGGGAGCAGGACTGTAGGACCCAAAGATGGAACCAGATGATATGCCAGTTCCTTGCCCTTTGGGTGCAGCTGTAAGCACTGCTCTGGCCTTGTCTCCTGTCTTACTCTATCCTGGAACTGCTTTTTTCTCTCTTCTTCAGGCATGCTGAGATTATTCCATCTTAAGCCCTTTGCACATTCTGTGTTTTCCACTTGGAGCATACCACACATGACTAACTCCCTTGGACTGCACTTCGAGTCTCCAGTCTTCACTTCAAGATCACCTCCTCGGCAACTTCTCATGCTGACTCTAAAATAGAAAGTTTCCTCATCCATGCTCCCCTCCTTGCCTCTTCATTTTCTTCGAAGAGCCTTTTTTTGAATCACTCTCTCAGTTTACCTTATGTATTCATTTACTTTTGCAGAAATTGTCTGACCTGACCCCTGCCTCCACACTCCTCCGTGTATGTGCTAGAATAGGCACTCAAAAACAAGGAGGCCTAGGCCTTTGGTTCACTATAACAGATTATGTCTCAGAGCACACACTCAGCACATATAGACCTAAGTTAAAAGAACAAATGGATGCTGAATAGGGCAAGTGACTGAATATATGCCCTTCATAGCCCTACCTGAGGTCAGGCATTTATTACTGGCAGAGTTGACTCTGTCCTCATCCTTCTGGCTCCTGACTCAGTCTCTCTCCATAGCCGTCCTGATGACAGTATGTTGCCTGAGAAAGAAAAAGAAGACGGCCAACCCTGAGAACAACCTGAGCTACTGGAACAACGCCATCACCATGGACTACTTCAACAGGCATGCTGTGGAGCTACCGAGGGAGATCCAGTCCCTGGAGACCTCCGAGGTAAGCAGCGCCCCCCTGGAGATGCAGAGAAAGAGGTAGGTCCCACAGGCAACCTGGAGCATCTGCTCCTTGCTGAGTTCCATGCTCCGCTATGTGTGGGTCCATGGACCAGCAGCATTCACCATGCCCAGCCAACTGAGTTAGGATCTTATTTCAGCAGTAGTACCCAGGTGCTTTCCACCCATGTCAAATTTGGGGAAGTCTTGGATTTTTCTTCTCTGGGAAGAAGCCTTCAAATGCTTAGCAAGGAATGGATCTTGCAAATATATATATATATTCTCATGGAAACTGTAAAGATAACAGCTTGCTCTCAAGAGACTTAGATTCTGAGATGTGATTGAGAAGCAAATCACAGATTCACAGAGAAAGAGAGTAAATTAGGGGAATCCCAGGAAGAGTTGAAGACAGGGTTTGGAAAAGACCCTCCAGGAATCTACTACAGAGGACGAGGGGTTTGAATAGATGCTCCAGCAAAGGAGGTATCTGCGAGCAGGTGGCAGGGTGCTGGGTGTGGTGTAACAGAGAACAGGGAATCTGCTGCACTGGGAATTGCAGCTGGCCCCTGGGAGCCACAGATGATCACAGAGCTCGTTTCTCCTGTTCTCATGTGGAGGATGGGGCAGAGGTCAGGGTGGAGTACAAAAGCAAGATAAAGGAGCAAGTCAGACACAGACTTGAACAGTCATAACAGGTTTTGGCATTAGGTGGGGGCAGTAGAGGATCATTGAGAGCTTTGAGTTTGGGTGACCTAGTTTTAGAAGGCCCATTGCTGATGTCCAGGAGAGGTCCTCTAAAAATGATACTTGGGAATGGACAAGGAGGGAGCAGAAGGGTGGTGTGATGGGTGGGTGAATGGAGAGAAGGCAGGTAGAACAGACTATTAATAGACCAGTAAAGATGCAGTTGCCATGGATAAGGAGAGTGGTGGGCATCTGAGTGGAGGCAGTGGGAACTAAGACGTGTTCCTGCAGGGGGTTCATCCTCACGTTCCCCCTATAGATCTACCCCACAGCAGCCTGATGATTTGGGTCAGTATAGACACGGCCACCCTGTCCCCAAGCCCAGAACCCTGCAGTCACTCCCCCTTACCCTGAAGCTGAAATTCAGCCTTCTACAGGCCCACTGGGCAGGCCTACCACTAACCCAGTTGTCCAGCCTTAGAGAACGCCTCCAGTCCTGCTCATTTGTTAAGCTCCAGCCACAGTGAACTTCTTCCTGCTCCTTCACAGCAATGAATGACACTGCACTCACTCCACATCTGTACCTGAGCTGGTCCCTCCTGTAGTAGTGTCTTCTGTCCCTCCCCAGCACTCCCTTCAGTCATTTCGGTGACCCGTGCCTGTCACGCAAGGCCCAATCTAAATGTCACTTCCTTGGGAGGCCTGCCTTACCTACTGGACTAGATTCTGTCCCCCTGTTGTGATGCTTTTTCATCATGGAATTTATTAGCATTGTGGTTATTGAGCTAATGTTACAGTGTGGACTGGCTCTTCCCCCATATACATAACCAGTGACTTCCATGTTGCTGAGCCCACTGATCAACCCAAGGACTTGTCTTACTGCATTAGCAGCAATTCTGACAGTCATTTCCTCCCTAAAACTTTTTCAAAGGCAGCGGGGCCCCACTCCTTCTGGCCCTCCCTTACCTCTTGGCAGTTTCTTCCCAGCCCCTATCATTGCTTTCTTGTCCTTTCCCTACCGGTGGTCTCTCATGGCCTAGGCTCAGTCCTGCCATGGCCTCTCATTTCCCCATAGATTTATGATGTCTGTGCAGTCTTTGCATCATGAACTCCAGAATTTTGGCTGTGGCCTTGCTGCTTCTCCTGAACTGCAGGTTCAGGCCCACGTCACTTCTTGTATGTGTCCAAAGTGTACTCAAACTCAACATGCCCAGGATTGATCTCTTGATTTCCCCTCTTCCTCTAAGTCCCAACACTTACCTGATGTTTCCACTTGTGTCACATGAACTGACTTTCCTGTCACCCATTACATCCCACTATCCCCAAACCCTAGAGGAAGAGCTCTTCTCATTGGCTCTGCTGCTCCCTGGTCCTGAGCCCCCTTCCTCCCTCACGCTATGATTGCCTTGATAGCCTCTGAAAGCAAAGTCTCCCAAGTGCTTCATGCTCTGCCATCTGTTCTCCAGCAGGCTGGGCCTCGTGTCTGCCTCAGCCACAGCTGGCACATCAAACCCAGCTGCTCACCTCCTCCCAGACCCTGATCATTGACTGAAGCCACACTAATCTCTGGCTTTCCTCCAACAAGCAGTGCTCCTCCTCTGTGCCTCCCCCCGCCCCTCTCCCTACTGCCACTCCACCCTAGGTTGACTTTGAACCTGCTTGAGCTGCTGTTCTGCTGCCTTATTGTGGATTTCTATCAGCCTTGGGGAGATCTTCACTGCCTGCTCTGTATTGTTTAGAGCCCACCATCTTCTCTGTCCCTTCCCACCGTGGTTTTCCTTTGCATGTTCCATTACCATATTGTATCCATTGTCTTTCTGGTGACTGGTCTGTGGTCTGGCTCTCTCGCTAGAACATAAACTCTGTTGTGTTTACTGCTCTATCCTCAGAGCACTAAATAGTGCCTGACATGTGGCAGCTACGTGATAATGGCCATCCTGTGACTGAACTATGAATTTTGTTCACTCCGTCACCCAGCCCGAAGCCTGCTGCACCGCAGATATGTGCATAGGCAGAGGCTGTGGGCTGTTACAGGGATTCGGATAGTTAACCAGTAAAGACCTTCCCGGCTTTGTCTCTATCTCTGCCTCTCAATGAAAAATAATGATAATAATAACTTAGAGATAGAATGACAAGCTTCTTAGGGCAACAAAGTGTTGCTGAGTGCTACTATAGCGTAACATAGAAGTCAGCAAAGGGATTGGCCCCACCTTGAATATGGACTGTGAACCCAGAACCCTAATTATTTCCTATTCTGTTTGCAAAGGCACACTGGAAAAAGCTCTGTGTATAGTACATCCATGTCACGTTCTGACACAGAGCTCCAGGCCACTGCAAGCCACAGGTTCTGATGACAAGGTGTGCTCCTGAACCAAGCTCATTTTGGCTTCAGAGGGCATTCTATCACTGTTTATCTCCTAGCAGTCTACTGCTCTCACCCCGCTATATTCAGAGCAATGTTTCAATTCATTCTTAGTGTCTGGGATCACACTAGTTGAGGGCCAAGGCCGGCAACTGGGAGCAGAGTGGCAGACAACCGGGCAGAGCTCAGTGTTGTAATCCCCCCCATACGGTGTTCCCAGGGTCTTGGGATGTGTTCTACAATGTTCTGAGCCCTTGGGTGTGCTCTCACCATCTCCTTTCTCTCTCTGCCAACTTTGGAGCTGCCAAATGCTTTGTCTAAGCACGTGTCTCCGTCCTGCTCCCCTGCTCTGTTGATGACAGCAGCGAAACACAAATCAGTATGCAAAACTATGATGCCAGAAAGGTGCTTGGACACTCCCGTTCTTTTCCCGTTCCTCCTCTCCCCTGCCCCTTTTCTCCTCGCTTGCCTTCTCCTTTCTTCTTCGTTTTTGCCTGGATGATTTCCTGAACAGCTTTCTCTTTTTCACACGGTGAAGCATACCTCCATGGTTCACCTTTGATGCACACTTCCTTTGTGAAAATAAAGACAGTAACCACCTCTAAGCCTCCAGATTCCCTTTGCCAGTACAGCCCAGCCCAGCCCAGCCTCGACACATCCCCTCCGACTCACTGCCACTTTCCCGAGTGACAGCGCCTGGCCTCATGTCCATCCTTCTGAAGCTGATGTCAGACGTGGAAGGAATTTTTTTGTCCCTTGCCAACAGAGTCATCTCTCCCCACCTCCCACCCCCATTATCTATAGAGATGAAGCATGCCTCATAAGCAATTTGTTTTGTTTAGAAATAATTTTGTATAGGACTGTGGCTTCTTGAAGACTTTCCTAAGCAGCTGTGGCATGGATAGGTTTGCCCTCACGTCTCTGCAGCAGCTTTTTAGAATTGGAAAGAACTGTGAGTTTTCTTGTTTCCACCTAAATTAATGCTTGGATCGGGATCTGTTAGCTACTGAGGAGCCCCAAGATGCTCACAGCCCTTGGTAGTTGAGAGCATCCTGCTGCCATCCAGGTCATTGTTCTCCTGCTGTGTGATCACACAAAGATTCAGATCTGTGCAACCTGGCACTTCTGGCGTTAGAGGAAGTGGGTACAAGAATTCTGAGCAGGCCTGGGTCTTTGAGAGTGGAGAGTTCTCCCTTGAAGATGACGGGTTGGTTAGCCTCTAAGCACGGGTAATAGGGAAAGAGGGTGTTTGGTGAGTGTATGGTGTTCAAGAAAAGTGAAGTTTCCCAGTGGTCTGTGAGACAAACAGGCAAGAGGTAAAGTTTGTACTCTCAGGGAGCTGAGTTTTACTGAACAGGAAGCTGAGAGCTCTTCACGTCATGTATTTAGCCTCCGTAGCCATGGGAAAGAAAGCAGTGCCATTTCTGTCAGTAGGGCTAAGGGTAGGAAACTTTGGCTGGGAGCTGCTGTAGAAATCTGGAAGAACAGCAGACAGGGATGTGTTGCTAGGTTCTGGCGGTGGGGATGATGCCCTAAGTGCTCGCAGGTGCATTTGTTTAAATAAAGCCTCCTCAGGAGCTCACACAGTCCCATCTCCTGCCTTTCTCCAGGACCAGCTCTCGGAACCCCGCTCCCCAGCCAACGGCGACTACCGCGACACTGGGATGGTCCTTGTGAATCCATTCTGTCAAGAAACACTGTTCATAGGAAATGATCAAGTCTCGGAGATCTAACTACAGCAGCCTTTGTTTTGCCAGTCTCTATTTTCATCTCTAAATTATAAATATACAAATATATATATATTATAAATATAATCTTTATGTAATTATGACTTAATAAGAAACATTTCAGCTTTTTTTCCCTAACAATTGTCAACATCTTTTTTGTACGTGTGCTTTAAAAAAGAACTTTGCAGAATGATCCGTGGCTTTATAAAATAAAGATATTTCTAAGCAAAGCAGGTTGCATTGATTGCTTCTCTTAGCAACTGTTCATGATGAACACGTAGAGGTCCTAAGATCCCCAAACAGGTGAGGTAAGAAACTGAATGTTAAAGCTGAATGTTAAAATGGACAAGTAGAAGCTCCTCAGAGTGATTCTAAAAGCACTGATTCTTCTCCATTTGTTGTGACCCCAATGCTCTCCTCTCTGATGCGCACTGGTTAACGCAGCTGGGACCCCTGGGGGAAAATGACCAACTCAGACACGAAGCAGGAAAGGAACAGCTCATTCCCCCAGAGGATGGAAACCGTGTACCATAGGACATCAAGTTCATTCCAGGCAGTGGATGGGTTGTGGAGACTTTGGGCATCTGAAGACCACGTCCGTCTGACATTCTGGGACCAGGAGCTTCCATCAGGGCAATGTATAAAGACTGCCTGTTCTTGGCAGAAAGAGGCTCCTCTTAAAACCCCTTTCCTGCAACTGCTTTAGGAACCACCTGTCTCAGATCCCAGCCTGGGTGCCCTAGATCATCCTTCTTCAAGGAGTAAATGTTCATTGGGGTTTAGGTTCGTTTTCTGGAAAAGCCAAGGTGTACCCTGAGGAACATGTTTACTTAAGAAGTCTAAAGTTTTTTTAACCTTCCTCCTGTGATCTTAGGAAAGTGAATGGCATGGGGAAAGCATCATTCTGCCCTTCCTTGGTCTTGAACACATACTGGCAGCTTCAGCAGATGGACTATGGTCTTGCTTGTAAATGGGTCAGACTCAGAGATGCAAGAGGAGCTTCCAGAGGTAGCTGTTTCTTTTTTTTTTAACTGATAGATAGTGGCTCAGAGAAACCCTTAAATGCTCTGATGTTTGCTTTCTCTAGCAGAAAATTGTTTGATAGTATATTTTCAATATAGATGTTCTTATGATCAGACTGGAAGTTGAACTTGGATGTTTGGATCACACGTTTGTGTTGTTGCTGTGGTCTTTTTATCGTGGTTTTGTTTGCTTGTTTGTTTGTTTGTTTTCCTACCTACATTTTGCTGTTTAAGAATCAAGAGATGGCCTTCAAAAATGTGTCTTCTTGGTTATATGAGCCTCTTACCATGAGTACAGCTGTTTGCTCTGCAGGGACTTTCCAGTCCACAGAGAAGTAGGTCAAATGTTATTCAGGATTTATTTTCTAACATGTTGCTGTTGGACCACTTTGGCCTTATCATCTCATTTCTGTTAGCAGTTGCATCCAATATTATCAATGTGTGTGAGCATATATAGAAATAAATCTGTTTGTATAGTAAAAGTTATATATAATATATGTAGTCAGATACATATGTTATATATACAAATGTGGATTATGACTTATTTTTCCTTACCTATAGAATTCAGCTAACATGTCTATAAATATACATATATAAATAAACTTATTTTGTTACCCAGAGGATTAAGTTGCTAATACATTTTGCATTTTGTTTTATTTTAAAATAATTACGGAGTCTTCACTAAGAATACCAACACTAACTTATGTCTCTCTGTATTTTTGCACTGTAAGAGTAAAGTCTCATCGGTGTCATAGATAGCAAGGTTAGAAATTTATACTTCGATAAAACAAACCGTTTAGAACATGTCTTTGCCCCAGAGAGAGCTCTCTGCCTTCAGGTCTTCAGGTGTTGCCCGAGGTGTAACCCCTTCTCTCCGCAGGTCTCTGTGTGTACAGATCATGTGTTTGGGTCTGGGTAACCTGAAGTGAACTTGGTCACTAGAAAGATGTTCCCATTCAGTAGAGTAACAGCACCAAGCATGACAACTTTCCAAACAGGCGCACCTGTGCTTGGAACCCTTCGGTGAGCCCTGGAGTTTAGAGCACTGGTTGTTGGGACCTGGTGGGCATCAGTCATTGCAGGATGTCAGTGCGCTGTCATTTCACACTCATCTTGAGTCCTTTCAGCTGCACTTCAGGGTGTGCTGCAGCAGGAGTTTCGCATCTGACTGAATGAGAACACTGACAGTGCTGCTTAACCCAGTGGATTTCTTAGCCTGTTTAATAACCAACACGTATCTCTTTATAAAGTGCCTCCTGCAACACCCAAAAGCAAAGACAAAAAAAAAATGAGGGAGAAAAGAAAATACGGGGTCGTAGCGTCTGATCAGCAGAAATGAAGAGCATACAGAATATTCTGAGAGGTGATCAGGGTTTTCAACTTTGCCCATGGGAACCTGGATAGGTACTCTGCTCTCTGAATGATGAGTCTACTGTGATTTGAATATTATTTGGCTCCTCAAGTCATTATAAAACAAAAGTTATAAGTGAATGGTGCTAAGCCACTGGGAACTTAATCCAGTTGTGGTGTTTCGGACATGGGGCCTCGGATGGGGTCACTGGGTTGTTCCCAAGGAAGTGACTTCTCCGAGAGCATTGTTAGAAAGCCCGAGTTGGGCCCCACCTCCCTTCTCAGCTTGCTGGTTCACAATGCGGCCCCTCCTCTCAGACTCACTATCCATGGTGGGGGTGGACGGAGGGAGGCTTCTCTATATCCCATATCATGGATTTCGGCTCCCCTCCTTCCTTCATAATCAGTTTGTCCCAGGTACTTTACTGTAGCATGAGAAAAACTGATTTAAGACAGGGTCTGAAATAAGTCACTGGCTTAGGAGTTGAAAGAGGTCTTTTCCTCTCAGCTCTGCCGCTTGCTGGGCGTGCACATTTGGCAAGTCAGCTCTCAGGCTCCTCATGAGGGGGCTAACAGGCAGTTGTAGAACATGTGATAACATACTTCTGGAGTTGTGCAGTGCACAGCCAAAAGGCTGTGTATGTCAACCCTATGCTTACGTCCTCAGTTGAATGAAAGATGCAGTAAAGTAAGGAGGGATTTAGGCCTAGTACTGGAAGTTAGCTCCATCCCCACAGAATATGGGATTACCTCCAGCTCTGAAACTTGGAGCTTTCTTCAGGGTAAGATTCCTGGTCTGTCCTTGGAGCTGAAGGAAGCTCTCTGATCCTGAAGAAGTCATCAAGGTGTGGCCTTTGACAACATGACCTAAGAGATGCAAGGAGCAGGAATGAAAACCCAGAGGTCTCAAATCCTAATGGATTGCACTGGAAGGGCTTCCCCAGGGAACAACAGCCATGGTACAGCAGGTGAATTGAGCTCAAGATTCCAGGTCCAGTGCATGGGAGTTAGAGCTCAGGGGAGTGTGATCATTGGAGTGTGAGATGGCAGAGGTGAGGAAGGAATGGAAGAACGAAGCCATGGAGGGTACTGAGGCTACTTCCAAGGCTGGGCTGGGGGCAAGAAGGAAATAACGGGATATATTTCCTTGTGCGTGCTAGAGTTGCTAGTTGACACTCATTTTCACACTCTTGCCTGCCTGCAGCTCATGCACACAGACTGAAACTTGCCCTGAAACAACCACAATGAGTCCTAGTTTGTGTTCTGAAGTCAGAGGCAAGCGATCACTTGGGGGGATATGTGGTTTACTAATTTGTGAAAGGATGTGCTCAAATGCCCACTTTTCCCTGTCTTAGATAATACGTAAGGCCAGGGTACCCATCCCCACAGTGCCTGCTGATCCAGCCTCCACCATCACCAGCAGAAAAACCTAGGAGGTCAGGCACATGATCCTGCATCAAAGAATGCATGAGTCAATCCCTGCACATAGCTCTGGGCGGGGACTGTTTCTCTTTCAATTCAGTGAATGATGGAAACTCATGGAAGACAGAGCACAAAGCCATTCCAGGGATAGGGCAGCTTCCAGAGGGGCCCATGACCAGCCCACAGGAAAGTTGGGACTAGACACCAAGAGGCACTGGATGCTGTAAAGCTGCTGGACACCTCAGAGGCAGAAGGGTGACAAGCAAGCTGTGAGTGACAGTGGTCTTTCCACCAGCACCAGCTCCACCATGCCCTTCCAGAGGCGCAGGGCGTCCTTCAGGGGGACACGGCCTGCATCTTCCCTGGAGAGCCCCCCGGCCTCTAGGACCAATGCCGTGGGTGGTCTCATCCGGGCACCAGGAGTCTATGTGGGGACAGCACCCAATGCAGGCATAGGTGGCCTGGGTGCTCGTGTGACCCGGCGGGCCCTGGGCATTAGCAGTGTCTTCCTGCAGGGCCTGAGGAGCTCAGGTCTGGCTGCAGTGCCTGCTTCAGATCTGGAGAGAAGCCACACTGCTGTGGAGGACCTGGGAGGCTGTCTGGTGGAATATATGGCCAAGGTGCATGCCCTCGAGCAAGTCAGCCAAGAGCTAGAAACACAGCTGCGGACACACCTGGAGAGCAGGGCCAAGCGTTCCGGAGGTTGGGGTGCACTCCAGGCTTCCTGGGCCAGCAGCTGCCAGCAGGTGAGTGCCAGGCTGTGCCCAGGACTTGACCAAGGACCTGCAAGGGAAGCTCGGGCAAGGGGAGGGTCATGAACAGGAAGAGGCCACAAACCCTACATTGCCATGCTAAGGAATGCTGGTGCAAACAATGCCTACGATGGCTACAATATACCAGGGTTTACTGGGAGACAGGCCCAGTTGGTCCCTGTACAGGTATGCAGTGTCTCACACGATGTTCTAAGCAAGGCAGTGCACTGGATTGCTTCCTGACTTCATTATTTCATATGAGAAAATGTCAATAGTTTGGAAAGATAATGGGGATTGAAGCTGGAATTTTGAAACAAAATTTTCCTAGCAGCGTAGTTGTACCATTACCCTGAGTTATCTCTGAAACCTTTACTGGTAAGAAAGGGATTCTATGAATGGATGCGTATAAGTGGAGGGGCATTCCTGTGCCCAGTACCCAGTAGAAATAAGCGTCACTCAG